GGAATAATGCAAATTACAGTTTTTGATCCAATTTGTCAATCGTAGAAAAATTTGGGGGAGAGAGGATTAGGGTTTCGGAGAATGGATTGAGAGTCGCACCCTTACGCGTCGAAGAAGATGAGTAATACGTTTTACTTATTATGTTGTACTATTTATTTATTAGTAATTATATTATTAATATTTAGGACGTTTTGGGTAAATAAACACCAATTAAGAGATATGTATTATTATTTACATTAAGAGATATTCATTAACAATTTTGCTAATCAACCAGATGATCGGTTTCCTTATGGAACCAATATAGAAAATTAAAAATATTTGAAACTGTTATATAAAGTTTAAAAATTCATTAACAAATGTATTCATTAATATTTACAAATTTAAATTCTTATTAAGTAATATTTAAAAATTAAAAATATAGAATCAATACAATTGCCTATAGTAATTTATTATTGAAATGTTATATAAAGTTTACATTGTACAAAATTACATAAAAATGTTTATTTAAAATTAGTATATAACTCGCGTGGTGCACATAACTGATAATAAATTACATTATATATGTTTCAAAATAAGTATCTTTTCAAAATTTTTATTCAGAAATTCGATTTGACTATAATGTAATTCTATAAAATAGTTATTTTTATAAAATATTATCATACATTTAACAACTTATGTGATCAATAAGAATAGATATAAAAATTATGTTGTTTCATTACTTAAAATAAATTACTTTTCTATAAACTATTCAAATAAAAAAATTAAGTAGTTGAGTAATTTATTAAACTATAAATAATTAACTATTTTGTTACGTCCAAGATAATATTGACCCGTAAGTTATTGAGTAATTTATTAAACTATAAATAATTGATTATTTCCTTTACGTCCAAGTTAATATTTACACATAAATTATGAATAATAGCGGCAAGGTTTATCAATATATTATATTCCAAATTTAAATCATGCAACTAATAAAGATAATAGTGACAAGTTTTATCAATATATTATATTTCAAATTTTAATCATCCAATTATTTAAGATAATAACCACAATATTTGACCAAAATGAGTCAATACATTAATTAAATTTTTAGGTGGGATTTTTCAAAAAAAAATATTACTCAATTTAGTAAATACTTTAAGTGGGAAACCAAATATTTTTTTTTTTCATTTTTAGTTGTAATTCAAGTAAATATCATTGTCTCTTTATATATTAATAGATAGATTGAGATTTATAAAAATCATATAAATATGTATTTTTGTAAGAAACAAATAATAATAATAATAATAATAATAATAATAATAAAAAAATAATAATAATAATAATAATAATAAACAAACCAACAGTTAGACAACTTCGTACAAAAATTTGTTGATAAATGATAAAAGTTCATTATTTTTTAACTCAACTTTCCTTCTTGTGTGAACAAAATACATAACATAATTACATTCGAGTTGTTCATTTATATATTCACAATGAATGTTCATATTCATTAGTTTGCATAGGCTAATTCAAGAATCATCCATGCTTAACAGAATGAAGCCAGAAAATGCAGTTTGATAGAAGTCAATGACATATAACTTCAAACAATACAACACCAGATTATAACCGTCAAAACCAAATGCTAATAAAAGTAAATATTGCCAGTATAAAGTGAGGGGCAAAATCTGCAACCACACCCGAGATCGATTGGAACAACAAGACTGTTAGTATTATCTTGTTATGTTGTTGCCATGTTTTAGGGAAGAGTCGAAAGTGCATGTGAAAGATTACGAGATATTCTGTCGTGTATGGGTTCCTGATAAGTAAATAAATAAATAAAAGGTTAATATAGCATTCATACCGCCGGTGATCGATCATGTCGCAACCTATAATATAGAAATATCTGGTTCCTACCTTTGTCAAAGGAATCTCAAACTTTGATTTTGTTATCGTCTCGTATAAGAGGATATATCTGCATGTAAAATGAATATAGATTATAGAAAACGATATAACACATGTAAGAAAGTTATATCAGCATATAATAAGAGCATAAAATTCAGCATACCTCCAAGCCAGTTCAGAAACGAGTTCTTCCGGTGCATCAGGCAATACCTAATATTAGCCTCAAAGAGTTACGCAAGTTCAACATACTTCAAAGAAAACACAATCGAACGTTATCCTCTTCATGACAGTTACCTCGTCCTCGTACGGATTGCAATGATCTTTGAACCACAATCTCAAAAATT